ACCAAAAAGCCAGAGGATTCCGGGTACAAGATTGGAACATGCTCCAAATTCAAACATGTAACGGAGTCTTCCAGCCTCATTCAAACAACCGATTGCGCGACTCCTCGAAGTTGTCGTTCAAAAAGGTGAAAAAAAAAGCTGAAAAAAATCTTTAATTTATTATTATTATTATTATTATTATTATTATTATTATCACTCCTTCATGTTGTCGCTGGTTGTCAACAGTACCTTGATCGCTTTACCTGGAGACACGGCTCAATCCCTAACTTCATTGCCAAGTCACTTAAACCTGTAATTAATGTTCACTCTTCACTCTATGCAGATGTTAATGGTTTTCTGAATCCCTCAATAATAACTGGTGAAAATTATCGTCCAGATCTTCTTTTCCTAATCCAGTCCAAGTGCCTATATGTTCTAGAATTAACAGTTGGCTTCGAGTCCAACCTTAACAACAATGCAGTGCGTAAGAAAGAAAAATATCTGAACTTGATCAACGAAATGAGTAGAAATTACAGATGTGTGAGATTTGTAAATCTCTCCATGAGTTCCCTTGGCGTTTTCTCCGATGAATGCTCCACGTTCGTTCTTAGATATGATGAATGACATTGGCATTGACAAAAAAGCAGCAACGTTATATAATCAAGAAAATGATAAATATAGCCATTAGAGCAACATATTACATCTTTTGTTGTAGAAACAGGAACTGGGATAGCTTAGACCTAATGCAATTTGATTTTTTTTTTTTTGGCTTTTGTTTTGTCTGGTTTTTTTCTTTTTAATAATCCAATCTCAAGTGGCATTTGTAAATTGCCGATACGTAGCGAGATTTACAATTGTACATTCAAAAACACAAATAAAGTTTCCATTATTATTATTATTATTATTGTTATCATTATTATTATTATTATTATTATTATTATTATTATTATTTAAATTATAAATCTAGGAAAACTATTAGCATATATTTGCAAATCTACCTGGAGACTTTTGAAAACCGGGTCGCCTGAAATCTGAAGTCAAGTCTAAGACATTGCAGGCACTCTTTCAAAGCATAATTTGCTTAAGGCCTGATGCTTTTAGTGTCAAAATAAAATCTTCCTTTCAGAACTAACCAACCGCCAAATGTTTCAGAAAACCAGGTATAAATAGATTTCAAATAGTGTCCGAAAAATAAACCAGAAGTGACGGATGCTAGTCAAAGCACAGATTATTTAAAAGCAACATGTATTCTATAGTCTCATACAGTCTCTTACAGTAACACGGATATTACACCAGAAACATATGTTTTCGAGTTTTCCTACTAATGCGTGAATTCTTCGCTTGAGGAAGTCATAATTTTAAATATTAACGTCCTACTTATTCTGAGACAAGGAATGTTTAGATAGCAAAATCTCTCAAAATTGGTAATGTTTTTAACCCACATAAGAGCTTTCCTAGCCGTTAGCTAAATGCGGCGTCACGCAAAAGCCTGGAAATTCAAGCGTCCTCTCTCGCAAAACGAGGAACTGTTTCGAACCAAAAATTTGTTTATATAAAGGTGTTTAGGTGCTGTAATACCTCGTGACAGTAGAAACTCAGAAGAATCGATAGTTTCTTAGTTTGATTTTTGGTGACGTCATGTGCAAACCAAGAATAGTAGTATACTTTGTTGAAAATTTAACCTCGATGGTGGATAGCTAAGGATAGTTTAGGGATAGTCGCTTTGGGGATAGTCCATGACGTCACCTTACTAGTAAAACCTCGCCCTAATGTCAAGTGCGTTCCTCCATATATAATTAAGTGGATAGCCGTTTCTTTTCATGTGGAAGAACACAGAAGGAACAACAAGCTTGCCTAGGCTTGCCCGTTAAGTAACTTTAGCAAGGTTTGTCGGACCGTCTATTAAAAGGGAAATAGGAATAAGAGGAGCGATCACTTAGCAACGCGAGAAATGGCTTATGTACTCTACTTAGTGCTAAAAATGGGATATATAAAGACAAAACACACACACATACACAAAGTGGAGCTCAAAACTCTTTATTTGAAATTTGTCTATTGTATGAAAAATTAACAAACGCGCTGTTGGTCAGTTAATTATGCGAGTTAACAAGCCCACAGTTGCATACAAATTAGTTTATCTCTACAGTAATAACCCCAAGGGAGAACCTTAGAAGAAAAAAGAATTAATAACTTAACAAGGATCAATTGAAACACGCAACAAATCAATAAACACTCCCAATAAAATCATACACGTTTCTTAAGACACAAGAAAACAAGTTTCTGACCCTTTCTTAAAGTGATTGCAAAAAGATTAGATTAAAAATTCCATTCAAATAGTCAAAGAAGGCAGGCTATCTCTTTTTTTTTTGTCACACTGCGCACATTGTTTTACTTACCCCGGCCTGTCCCTTTCATTTTTATTTTCCTGCTTATCTATAATTTTATCATTTTCCCTTCTCAACTTTTTTTATTCCCGGCCTTCTCCACAATTTTAATATTTTCCCCCCTCCTGTACAATTTTATTATTTTCCCTCCTCATTCTTGAATTCCCTCCCCCTCAATTTTATTATTTTCCCTCCTCATTCTTTCTTATTTTCCTCCTCCTCCACCACCACAATTTTTGTTATTTTCCCTCCTCAATCCTTATTTCCCTCCTCCTCCACAATTTTATTATTTTCCCTGCTCCTCCTCCTCATTTATTTCATATATTTTTCCATCCACAAATACATCGACCTCATATCGACCCAGAATCGACTCTACATTGACCCTACATCGACCTTAGACTCAACTTTTTTTAACACAGCTTCGTGAATAGTGAGATTATATACAACCACTACCCCATTTTCTTGTTTTGTCTCCACCACCACCACTACCACATTTCTATTTTTTCTCTCCACCAACACCACCACCTTAGTTCTATTGTTTCCCTCAACCACCACCACCACATTTCTATTGTTTTCCCACCACTACCACCACAACATATTTCTATTATTTTCTCTCCACCACCACCACCACCACAGTTCTATTGTTTACCTCAACCACCACCACTACCACCAAATTTCTATTGTTTTCACTCCTCCTATTGTTTTG